ACCACGTCAAAAACGAAGGTCCGAGCGAAAAGTTATGCGATTTTTAGTGATTAGTGGTCAAACCGAGTTTTCAGCCGAGTCAACTCAGCCCCAACTCGTAAAAGTCGGATATACATGTTATTTACCTTCTTTTTCACCCAAAACAGACTCTCATCTCCAAAACTTACTACCAAGGGCGATTTTGGCTTCATAGGGGTGAATTAAGGTTGTTTCAAAGGGTTTTTGCTTGATTTTGATGTCAAATTCATCCTCCAATTAAGGTATAACTATTTCATTGGTTAATCTCTTGATTTGAAGCTAGTTAGAGATGAAATCAATGAAACCTAATTTGAGTTATATTAGTAATATGTTGTATTTAGATTGGTTATAGCCTAACTAAGTTGTTATGATGCTTGATTGATGATATGGAGCTTTCGAAAATGAAGAACATAGGTTAAACTTTGATTTTCTTCATTAATGGCTATTTTGGTGAAATTCTTGAGTATTAATCTTGTAATCAATAATATAAACATGGTTAGATGGTATTTTGATTGTTGGAATAAAGATTGAATCCAAAATATGGATTTTAGCCTGTTGCATCTAAAAACTGATAAAAAGTTGATTTTGAGCTGTGAATTATAGTGCCTAAAATGAGTTTAAATTAAGTTTGGTTAAGTTTTTGTTGTCGGATCTTTATGAAATTTTGGGTACATATTACAGGTGTTAAATAAGCTCACTTGGTTCTTCCAGAGTGACCGTTGGACGATGTTTAGACATATATGGACGTAGAGCCTAAGTTGGCTCGATTTTTGAGTATAGAAAAGCACTGTGAATTTATGGGGCTACTTAACTTGCTATTTGCTAGACATGTGTTATCTATTTGTTACTTGCTTCCACACTCATCCATGTTATGTCTCCTTATCAATTTCAAGAGATTATTGGCTATTACACTCCGTCCTTCCATACATGCTACTCGATGGTTACTTTGTGTTTCACCCGGGGAGGCACGCTTAAGCCCATATCAGCTAAGATTACTCGGGTATGGTGCGTATTTGACCGTGTTAGAGTCCAGTCATTTTCCCACTGTCTGGGATAGCTCGGGTGGAAAGATCATTCCACTGGCCGGGATAGCTCGGGTAGTATGAAATCTATGATATATATTGTTGTGCTTGCCACAACCGGGATAGCTCGGTGGCAGTACATATCAATTATTGACTTTCACACGATCTAGTTGCATATTTTGATATTCAGATGTATGATTCTCGAATGATGATTACTTATTACATGATTTACATCCTTCGTGATCATTGACTTCCATAGATTACATTTGTGAAGCTTTAGTAATTAGTAGTTCCCGTTTACTTACTAAGCATTTTGTGTTTACCCTTTTAGTTGTTCACATTTTTACCAGGCCGTGTATATAAGGCAAAGAACAAGCTCGGGTAGATTGAGATCTTTGCTTTTGGTGCTTCCAGTAGCACGACTCTTTTGGTATTATATAGTTAGTCGAATACAGCTATAGATTGTAAATTATTAGTTGTCTTTTGGTTGTAACTGCAAGTATCTAGATAATAGGTAGCTAATGTCCTTCGTCTTGTATATAGTTTAAGCTTCTGCAAATCTATTAAGTTTATTTTGTCCGTTTTAGGATATTTTAGAAATCAGGTGCTTACGGAAACGTCCTGTAAACCAAGCGGACATTTCGAATTAGAAACTC